AAGAGGGAAGCGAGTCAGACAGAAGGCAACATTTGGCAAATGTTGTTACAGTGTTTGGCGTTTGCGGCGCAACAAATTTGCACACAAAGATACTTTTATAAGCAAAGCCAGTGCGTGTGGGTGTGCGTGTGCGTGTGTGTGTGTGTGTGTGTGCAAAACTGAAAATGTTTATGAGCACTTTAGCCGGCCACTGTCCGCTGTTATGTGCGCTCCCTGGCCGCCCATCATCAACATCGTTCACGTTTACGATGCGCCCCGCGGCGGGCTGTTGCTTTCACCAGGCTGTTGCTGATGGCCAACCGCCAAACCAACCGAACCCGACCGAACCCAAGCGAACCGAGCCCAGCCCAAGCACTGGCATCCATTATCCTAGTTCCTGTCGAATATCCAAAACCGCCGCCTGTTTTGGCCCCGGTCCAAGCGGCGCTGCTCTTGGGGCTTTCGCTTCTTCTTTATTATTGTCAATGATTTGCTTTTGGGCTCATAAAATGCAAGCAAATTGAATTTCTTCATGCTCGTCCTTTTGTTGCCCCTTTTCTTCTAATATTTGTTGCTTTTAATACCCTTTAATGGGTCTACGAAGGTCATGTTGGTTATGTGAAAATGCGTCGAACAGCAGACCCTTCAAATATTTATATGACATATACATATATTAGTCAGACTAGATGGGCGGAAGGACAGAGAGAGTTTATTTAGTTATCGATAACTCGAAATCGATAAATACATCCTATTTCTTACCCTTTCTCGGAGCCTTTATGAGCCCAAATATTGTATAGGGACTCTCGTATAGTAAGTAACCCCAGCTTCACCAAAAATTGAAGAAATTTTATCTCGTTTTTTATGGTAAGGCCCTGTGCTTTGATATTTGCACACTTTTGCTTGTCAAATTCAAGCCCTGAAAATTTGATAAAGTTCGAACTATAAACACCAGAGTTAATCAAGAATGCATTTTCCAATACATTTCTGGAGCATCTGGAGCAGTGTGTGTGTGTGTGTGTGTGTGTGTGTGTGTGTGTGCTCTTATGTATTTTGTAAGCTGGAATTGAATTTCTGTGCATCGCCTAGTCGGGACACCCGAGCACGTGAACACGTGACGTATACTTAATTTTGTTATGCACATCGCGCATACGCCTAGTTGCACGCCGCGACCAGAGATCAAAGGCAGCCCTTTAAAGAAGAGCGACACGGTTAGGTGTGGCTAGATAAATTTAGATTATATTTGATTATTCAGGCCGCTTACCCAGATTCGAGATCATGCCTATTGACCTATTGAAGTGTTAAACTAATTGATGGATAAGTTGGGGATGGAATAAATTATATCAACAAATAGACGGACTTTTTTTTTGGCCTTATTCAAAATATCTTTTAAATACATTCTGATGCGTAACGCTTGGATTAAGCAGCTCAACAGATAATTTACTTGATTAACAATTTCTGTCCCATATAGATTTTAGTATACACAGCTCAAGAAAGTTTTTATCCAACAATTTCATAAAGATCGGACACTAATGCATTAATGCAGCAATGCACTTGCCAAAGTCTGAGGCAGGGGAAAGCAGATTTACGGCCTGTGCTGGGAATCCACTCCAACTTCACCTTGGGGGGATTGAAGTCTCAATCAAAGTAAACTAAATGCTTTCTTGCTTAAAAGCATGGATTACAGCAAATTGAGTTCTAAGCTCGTCGGCGCTTCGAACTAAAAGCCGTTAAATGGAAATGAAAACTCTTAGCCAATTTTAATTGGAGATTAAACTTAAACATCAGCAGCGAACAGCGAATTAAGAGCAGAGCTGCTTTTAAGCAAAAAATTAAAGTAGTTTTATTGTAAACTTGCGTAAAGTTCTGAATAATGATCAAATATGCTTGAAAAGAAAGGAGAAGCAGGAGTGCTTTAGTCGGAAGTGCCCGAATAGCAGATACCCCGAATCGAATACACTCGGAACGGTATTCATGGTCTGATCTTTTTTAAATTTGTTTGTGCTTGAATATGACAAACAAATGTGTGTACATACTAAAGCGCAAAGCTTTACCATCAAAAGTGAGAGTTTTTCTTTTCCAATTTTGGCATGAAATGGGGAACGTTCCCCATTTGGTAAATAGCACTAATAATTTACGAGCTATGCTTACAAAAATATATTTCAAAAAGTTTATAGCCTGTTCCTATAAAAATGGTTTTAGATATCGGAAGAATATGAACATGACAAACATGTCCGGCGAATGATGTAGAAGAGCATATGCTCGGCTCGACTAGGACAGACGTTGAGACAGTCGGACATGGATAAATCGGCTCACTGCTTCGTCCTTATCAGGAATATATATACATAAATATATTTAATAAGGTCAAAGCTGCTACCTTCTGTTACATAGAAAAACAATATAAATCTTTTACTCAATTTCAATGGGTATACAACATTCTGAACGGAGTATTAATTAAATGCAATTAAATGAAATGCGTTTCTTTAGTTCAGATAAGATAAATTTGATGTAATCAATTACTTACCTGAGTTAAGTTCGTAGTGTGTGCATATGTACTTAATTACGATTTATACCACATACAGGTTGCAATTTGGTTAGGTAAGTATTACCAGCTATTATAATTATTATTGTTGTTATTATTTTATAATTGTTATTATTAATTGTAGCAAGTTTTGATAAGCATTACGAAAACGAAAGATAGTTCTGCTTGCGCTGATATATGCATATGTACACATATAAATATTTACATAAATATATATATATATATATATATATATATATATGTATATAAATATATATACTTAGATAGACATAGAACATATATGTCGCATATAGCTGGATATTGCTCTCGAATTTCTTGGGCTTTTGCTTTAGTTAGTTTTCACTTTGACTTTGGCTTGCAATGTGGGCAACATTATAAACATGATTATCAACATCATCATCATCAGCATCAGCATCATCATTTTCATTATCATTAACATCATATTAGATCATTATCATAATAATTAGAAATATTTTCTGCACGTCACTTTGAGGCGAACAAACAAAAAAAATTTGAAAAAAAAACTGTATATTTATGTTGAATATACGCGCGCTACATAGGGTGCCCAGACACACACACACACACACACACGCACACACACCCAGGCACACCTGCACACTCACGCCCACACACACACACTGGGCACACATAAGTTAGACACGTGCGCGTACGCGTTCGCGTTCGCGTTCGCGGGATCCGTTTTATTTTTTTTCTTAACGACTTGAATGAGTTTTGAGTGTATTCGCATTGTATTCGCGACGCGTTCATTTAGTTCACGTTTCATTCAAAATTATTCAATTATCATTTATTGGCGCATTACTCGCTGCTGTCGCTGCCGTCGCTGCTGTTGCTACGAATTCCCTTTGGATTCCCCTATTTCAGCTCCTGCTGCGGGCCGCTTGAACATTTCCAGCTCATTGAACGCGTTTAGCTCAACTGGAACTGGAACTGGAACTGGAGCTGGAGCTGGAACTGGTTCTGACCCTTTTGGGTTTTTACCTTTTTCGATTTTATACACACATATTGTGTTTGTTTCTGGGAGTGGGAATCCCTCGTTTGCAACGGCTCTTTGTAATGCTGCAATGGCAACGGAACGTAAAAAGGAAACGGAAATTTTTTATCGGCTTTTCAATAAATTTGCAACAAAATGAGGCAAATTGTGCACACGGCCAGCATTTCCTTGCGTGTGTGTGTGTTAGTTATATATGTGTATATATATTATATATATTTATATATGTTTATTTAAGCAGATATTTCCCATCCCTCTTCGCCATAATTAAACGAATATTATTATTTTGTATTATAATTAGCGTGCGTTTTATCTATATCCCTGTAGATGGGTCCCATTAAGATTATATATGTATATTCTTGATTCATCTTCGTCGGACCGTCTGTTTATTTTTTTGTGCAAGCTAGCCCCGCAGTTGAAAAGTTAGCAGAGCTCTATATCATCTAGCACTATGGGAAGCATCGTTCCAAAAATAATATTTTGGCTTTTTATAATCTCCTGAAATTACCTAACAATTCGCTATTCTCCTCTCCTCTCTCTCTCTCTCTCTCTCTCTCGGTTTTCTGCAAAACCGATTTAAATTGGACTACTTTATTTTATAAGAAAACAATCGTCGTCAATAAGGGTCCTTTATTTCTTCGATTTTGTTTCTGTATTTTGCTTTTAAGTTGTTTATTTTTTCCCTAAGCTCGCATTTTCAATTTCTTTCTCTTTCAATTGAGTGCTTAGCTCTTCTTCTTATTTGCTATTTATTTGTTCTCCATTGCACTCGACTGTCCCCTTGCCAATTGTATTAAATGCTTGCTCCCTGATTTTAATATACTTTTAAAGAGGGTTGCATAGATATAATATTTATATATATATATATATATATATATATGTGAGTACACATTTATCTGTACTTCACATTCTTTAAATAATTTATTTGCTGGCTTTTGAAGCTTGGCAATTGAAGCCTTAGATATGTACTATGTCTATATTTTAAATCCGTAATAACTCTATGGACCGAGACGGGTCTAACCGTTTTTAGGTGTTTGTTTTTTTAATCTTCTTTGCATCGCTTTCTTAAACGTTCAACTGGCAACTGCTCTCACTCCCTGCCTACATCACACTCTCTGTCTCACTCTCTCCTCTCCTCTCGCTCTCTCTCTCTCTCTTTCGCTCTTACTGTCTGAGCTTTATGCTTCGTATTGACTCTCTTAGATGTTATCGTTTTCTCTGCCTCACTTCTCCACCCACTTAGCTGTCTCTCACTTTCACTTATTTTACTCTGTTCCCATTGCAATATTATTTGTGTCTTCCTTTTACCTCTCTTCCTTCATCCGTTTTTTCTCATTTATTTCTCCGTCTCTTTCTATCCTGCATATGTGCCATATTTCTTGTCGTTCAGTCTCCCCATTGTATTATATTATTGAATTTGCTTTGCGCCGTATTCGTAAACGTTTCATAAGCGAACGTATATATCCTTAGATCTGTGCTACCTCTGTTATATATTGAGTTCTATCATTTTCATTCCTTCTCGCCGACTGTCCCTCCTTATTTCTCTTTGCTTTTAATTTTCGACAGATCCTTTAATTTCCTTTCTCGCATTTCCTTGCTATTAGTTTACTTTGTCTATTCTCATTTCGTTTTCACTCTACTTGCCTCTTTCTAAGTCGCAACTAGCACTCGTACTTTGCATTTAGTTGGCAAACTGTCCCCCTTTAGTCGCTGCCCCTTTCCCTTTCATCTTGTGTATTGCAGCCCTTCCGCTTGCCGCGCGAGCCCCCGTCTCTTCGCCTACATCCTTTTACTTAATGTTTTTCAGAAGGCTTTTAAACTTGTCATGCATATTGATATAAGTAAGTAGAATTCGCCCTGCAGACTTGACGCTGTCAGCATATTGAAGCCAACCACCCCACACCCTTCACACCCCCAAAACCCCACTCCCAAGACCACCCAAGAACGCCCAAGCCCACCCACGCCCATTCAATTCTTAGTGCCGAATTTGCACACTCAACGAGAAATTCTCTTATTTCGCTACGGTTGAGAATTCGTATCGTAATTTAAGTGAATTTGGGCAGCCGCCGCACGACGTCGGGCGGCGCTTTGACTTCATATTGACTTTTGTCTTTTATATTCGGAAGTGTTCTGCTTCTTATATTTTATATACTCTCTTATGTACCCAATACATAATGAAAGAGTATATTATCGGCTTGGATGCATGCTAGAAGCTAGAAACTCTAAACGTCATATATATTTAAAGAAGGTCGTGAAAGCCCGGCCCGGTCTCAACCTTCATGGTCTTGGGCTTGAGTGAAAAATGTAGCTTTGTATATTTTTTCTGATGATCTCTTGTCCCTTTAACAGTGACTGCAAAACTATGAGAGACAAAGCCTATGAATGACTGCAAAACTATGCGAAAAATATATCTTGCAAGAAAATATATTTTTCGCCCGCCCAATTCTGTATTCAATTTAAGGCCCAAGATATCATCAGCAATATATAGTTGATAATAGATTATTGCTATTGCTTTAAATTATAATTATATACAAATATTATTCAAAGATAAAGTCGAAAGATCACTGTTTGAGAGTCATACTTAGTGAGCTACAAAGTTCTTAGCTACAGCTGTAGGGCAACAGTTTCAAAATGACCAGGCACAGCTTCAGAGTGAGTCGTCCCGGAGTCACAGTTTTGGAGCAATAGTCTTAGAGCTACCATATCAGAATCACAGTTTTAGAATAACCATGACAGAGTCACCGTTTTGGATTAACCACTTCAGAGTCACAGTTTCAAAGTTCCTTTTCAAAGTCACACTTTTGGAGTAACCATTTCAAAGTCACCGTTTTAGAGTGACAGTTTTAAAGTAACCGTTTCGAAGTCACAGGATTTGAGCAAGCATTTTAAAGTCAAGGTTCTGCAGTAACCATTTCAGAATCAAAAGTTTGAAGTGGCCATTTCAGAGTAACGGCTTTAGAGTAACAATTTCAGAGTAACGGCCTTAGAGTAACCATTTGAGAGTAGAAGCTTTGAAGTAACCCTTTCGGAGTCACAGTCTTAAAGTAACCATTGCAGAATCATACTGTTTAATGCTCTGTTTAAAAGTGCAAATCTCAGAATCACAGTTTTCGATGCGGACCAAACAAAATACCGCTTCAGAGTCACAATTTGGAAGACTGGCAGCTTTAGAGTCAATCACAACCCGAGCAAGACGCATCGTCTCGCTTGTTTTTAGCTCGAATTAGGTAAAGAGTAGAGTATGGAAGAGTTGAAAGAATCCAGTTGTAGCTACTTTCGGGAGTGTTCGACTGGGAGTTACCCTTTAGTACAATTAAAATTTTGGAAAAAATGGGGTTGAAATGGGCATGCACGCACGACGATCGGACAGATATGGACTGGCATGGAAGAGGCCTATTTTGGCCTGTTACACACAAAACCTGAATACCCTTGATATACAGCATTGTCAATGCTTACAGGGTATGCAAAAGAAAGAAGCAAATAGAAGCTAGCACCGGGCTTTTGTTTCAAGTTGTCTCTTTGCAACAAAATGGCGAACTTGACGGATGCCCGTCACACACACACACACACACACACGCAGAATTCAAGGACATTTGTCAGTGCGCAAAATACTAGATAGAACCAAATAGAGTCTGCCCTAAGCGCAACCGAAACCAAAACCAAAACCAAATTACACATTAAAATAACATTTGATGTAGCATTTCGAAAAGCCAACAACAAGAATTCACATATGAAAGTCATAAAAGTAAAAACACACACACACACAGACACAGACACACAGACACGCACTAGAGCATTACGCCTATGGCTAGTATATAGAGTCTGGATTGCTGCAGTGTTATGAATATGAAAATGATTTTTAACGAGGCGACACGTCGAGAAACTAGCGTTGTATCTGTCTAGAAGTAAAAATTTTTCTAAGATACAGCTGCAAAATTTTGGACGCTCTCGAAACGGCTTTTTGGATTTACGTCACAACCGTTTTATGGCTCTTTAAATACTAATTAAAGACAAATCACAAAAAAAAAAAAAAAAAAAAAACAATAAATAAATATCAAACAAAATATTTGCGTGTGTGTTGTTTTTATTCTCATTCAAATTCAAATATGTAATGCAAGGTGGCCGCCAAAAAATTTGAATAGAGTTTCGGTAAGGGGGGCGGGTTGTCGGGCCGTGTGGGGCACCTACCTCAAATAGTAGCACAGCAGCGCAGCATCAACAAGCAGTCACCAGTTAAAAAAAACCCAATTAAAAAACATTAAAAAAAAAATAACGAGTAATTGCCCAACAATTTTGAAAAAATTTCATTTAAACTTTTAGAAACCAACTAGAGTCGAAAGATTTGGAAACGTTTTCTGAAGACGGCGACGCGACGTGCATAAGATGTTTCGGGCATAGCCAAGGAATCTGTGTAGAAGAAGCACCAGTTAAAAAAAAAAACAACAAAAAACAATTACGAAAAATAAACGGTTTTCTTTGCTGTTTTCTTGCTTCTTTTTTCTTCGTTTTATCTTTCTTTCTTTTTCGGCTAGTTGTTTTTGAACCGTTAGGCGCTATGCAAATGCGCGGTCTTCCTCTTCCTCATGCATTGCGCGACGACGGCGATGGCGGCGACGGCGACGCTTGCGTTGGCTGCTGCGATAGCATCGACGGCGACGGCGGCGGCGTTGACGGCGCTGACAACGGCTACTAACACAGGGCGAGCGCACGGCTCGACAGGCTCAACGGTCAACTGCTGCGTGCTGCGTTTTGCGTGCTGCTGCTGCTGCGTGCTGCTGCTGCGTGCTGCTGCGAGACGTTGCGTTCGCGTTCGCGGCTCTGTACATCGCGGCGTATACCCAACGACTATTGGCCACGGACGCAGCGGCCGTGCTGGAGACCCGCCAGAGCGTTGCCGCTGCACGGTTCGGCAAACGCACGACGCGGCCGCTGAGCGAATCCGAAACGTAAATTGGCATCCGAATCGGTGTCCGAATGCAGTCGCAGTCGCAGTCGCAGTCGCAGCCAACATCGGCAGCTGATGATGCTTTCACCTTGAGCTTTTGCCACTGCCGTGCTCTATGCCTAATGCGATTTTTTATCTTTATCAGCAGCGGCGGTGACATCGGCAGCGGCAGCGGCTGCGGCAGCGTCTGCGTCTGCGGCAGCGTCTGCGTCGGCATACGCTTTCGATATCGAAAGCTGAAAGCTTATGCGCCGCAACATCCGAATTTGAAGGTCAGGCGGCTTGTGGCAGAGCTTGTGCTTTTAAAGTTATTCGAGCCAGTAGGCGCAATAAACCGTTGCAAGTGGCGCAAAGTGTGCGGCAAAATGCCGGCAAAGCATTGCGACGCGTTATCCTTTTGCTGCGACTTGGAAGTAAATGGGCCAACGCAGCAGCCGCAACACACTGCAGCGCATTTTCGAAATTCCAAATTCCATTCACATAAGCAAACTAAAAGCTCGGGGCAAAAGCTTTTACAAAGCTTTAGGCAACAAGCAATATTTCAAAGTGTCCGCTCAAAATTCAACGGCGAAATGAGTTCCATTTAAACAACGGACACTTGAAAACTTTAGCAAATTTTTCGAAATTTTACTATTGACACTTTATTAAAAAAAAAAAATTAAATAATAATCAGATAAGCACATCATTTTAAAGAAGTGTAAAATTGAATTCTTTCTTATCAAGCATTCAAAAAGATCTAGAAGCCAAGCCATGAACAAAGAGCCAAACATCGTGAAAATCGTATGAGATTTGACCGAGTTATGGGGGTGGGAAATTTTGACCCATGTCTGTTTAGATATTTGAGGGTACCATTTTTACATGAATTCTGACCAAGAATAATTTCTCTTTCTCGCTCTATCTCTGTTTCACATGCAAGAGAGAACGAGATTCGCCCTCTCTCTCTCTCTCTCTCTCACACACGCTGTCTCTCTTTCACAAGCTCATTCTCTCTCTCTTTTCTGAAGTAATCATGTGTTGAAAACTTTTCGTTAAGTAAATATTTACTTAATTATTTATAAATATGTGAATTGGAATGTATTTTAATGCAATCCTGATCTGGAAACTTTCTATATTCTTGTATTTATATATGTACATACATAATTTGCGTAAAATATACCCAATACCCAAAAATTCACAAATATGAGGGTTTTCGAAAATGATATATTTTAAGATTTGTTTAATAAAAGAAAAGCATTTCCAAGAATATGCATTGAATATCAATTCGCTTCTTATTTCTGTTAAATATGTACATATATATTTGTATCAAAGATTTTCAGTAACAAAAGCTCATTGTAAATTATTAGCCGCTGGCTAAGCTTGCCGGCTGTCATGGCACCGGGATGGATGCCCCATGTAGCCGTTGCCTTGGGAATAGAAAACAAGCAACAAAATCAACAGTTGCCAGGCGAAGCCTATCAAAGCATTTTCCTTAACATATAATTGAATTCCTACACTGAAAATCGGAAGTTATATGCGGCCTGTGGTGGTGCGTATTGAGCAGCCGTAAAGCGCATATCAAGCAGGAGCAGCATGGAGGCCAGCCCCAATACCGTCCAGAAAGCTGGAAACGAATCCGATAAGGGCGAAAATGCCGAATACGAAGAGAGGGATAGCCAGAACCGTGAGAGTGACAGCTTGAGTCCAAACCAATCGCCCGGTGCGATAAAGGGCGACAAATCGCGCAAGAGCCGGCGTGGTGTGCGAGCGGTATTCAAGGATCGACCCACCAAAGTTGGCGAAGATGACAATCTAAAGATCAAGACGGGCGCCTCTCTCATACCCGATCTGAATCTGATAATAAATCGTATGCGCAACATGAAGGACGACAGCTACGTCTATCTGGATTACATGCTGCCCAAGCATAGCGAATACTTTACCCCGTATAGCCTGCGCGAGGTTGAGTTTGCGAATTTGAATATATACAAGCCCTACTATACGGTCACACGACATGGCGTCACCTATTGGCGTGTATCTGAGAATTTTTTCACACCGTTGAATCAGTGGCAACAGGAGTTCCAACAATTTTTGAGCATCATCCAAATCCGCACATTCTCCATCTTTCGTTTGTGGAAAGGCTTCAAAGTGTGGGAGAAGACGATCAAATGGCGCAAACTGAGCTTCGCCCGCAACCATTTACAGAACAATCTCTTTATCGTTATACCACAGCTGGCCAAGGCAATTCTGCGTATGCGCTCCGATATTGTTGTATTGGAGCGCCTCAGCTTTGTCAATATTGAGAATATCGAGGAATGGCATCCCTTCTATTTCTTGGAGCTTCATATGCGCATCTACGAGCAGCTAAACTATCTGTTCCATGAATTTCGCAGTTTTGTGGGCAAAGCTCTATGTGGGTACTGTCCAAATATACCTGATTGCATTCTCTAATTGATACCATCAAAACACCACAGATCGTTCCTGCACAGAGGCCATTATGGCGCGTGGCTTCTATCCGGACGATGAGATCAATTACTATCCCTCAATCAAGAAAATGCGAGAAGCACACAGCTTTATGGATCGTGCGCGCAAGCGGGCCTTTTGCAAGACCCTAACCAAGTAAGTTATCTTCTCTTTAAGGAGGTCATCTCCGTGTCAATAAACCATAGTCATATGGTCTCTCGCATACCCTGCATACACGAAGTGTGTTTCGACTTTCGATAACCCAATGCTCAGAACAGATCTCTGTGACCTTGGCAGTTAAGGACGAAACCAATTAGCTGGGGATAATATATTGACAAAGGTTCCCATTCGATCTGCGAGACATGATCTCGTGCTCGTGCAGTATACACAGATACAATATATTTCAGTTTTGGTAAACCCGAAAAAACACAAATTTTTTTATCATATCTTAGCTCTTAAGTTTTCATAATGGTCTGAGTCTGAATTTTTGACAAATTTTGTAAAGAAGAAAGCTTAGAAGTTTGTAAGGGCAATGGGCATAGGGTAACTTATAGTCGAGCACTGCCGCCTAGAACATGCAAACTTAACTGGAGCTCCTAAATACTAAAAGCAAAACGAGAATAAGTCAAGAATCGTCGGCAGTCCTGACTTGTGTAGAGGGTATCTTCTAGTCGAGCACACTCGACCATTCTGACAGATTCAGCTCTAAATTTTCTTCACATACACCGACAGCTTTCTCACCTTCTGCGATATGATGCTGTATCAGGCGCTCTATCGAGTGACCATTCAGAGCTATGAGGAACTGAATCATGCATTCGATGAACACCACCAGGTGGCGCCAACGGAGGCAGAAATAATGCGGCACGATCGTTTGGACACTAAAATCGAGAAGCCGCGACCGCCGAATGCGCCGCAGAATCCATTTTTTCTCGCTCAGCTCCGTCTGCTGCCCGATCGCATCGAGGTGGAACCCTTGGAGGAAATCTTAAAGCTCATCTTTCAGCGCATAACAGGCTTGATCTTGGAGACTGTGCTGGATATACAACCCTTTACCACAGATGCCGAATTTACACAGTACACAAAGTAGGTTTAACCAAAAAAAAACAAAAAACAAAAAACAACAAAATCGAACCAAATCAATCTTATGCGAATTTACTATATCATCTAGGCCATCGATCATGGGACGTCAGGAGGAGTGTCTGTATCAGAGTGCGCCGGAATTGGCATTTCTATTGAAACAAGATGTTACGTTCAATTTCAATCGGTGAGACTGGGACCTATTTATATGTATATAATACCAAATTACACTTTAATCCTACCTAACTCTTAAATTCTTTGCCCGCAGTAAAAATATATTCGTTTTGATACACACGGCATACGAGATGGCGCGTCTTTATACCGCACGCTTTCAAAACATACGGGAGAACTATGAGATTGATGCTACCACAGATCCCGAGGAAATCAGTAGCGAGCGGGGTAAGAATATTTAGCATGGGTATTAACGTATTCCGCACTCAGCGAACAAAAAAGTAGGAGGTTCTAGTCGGAAGCTCCCGACTAGGGGATACCCTAAACCCTCTTCTTCCGACAGGCGATAGGTATAAAATGAAAGACACTTGATATATATATATACTATTCTAGAAGCTACATGTCTTGCTCATATTATTCGCCGAAATTGTTCAAAAAACAGGATTTCGATATCGACTTTTATCGATTACTTGGAAACGGGGCAAGTTATTGAATATCGGAAACAAACTCGATCTGCGCGGGCACCAGGAGAACCTACAGCCTCTAGTTCTTATAGGTTCTGAGATCCTTGCATACATACGGACAGACGGACAGACGGACGGACGGACAGACGGACAAACGGACGGACGGACAGATAGACGGACATGGATAGATCGACTCGGCTGTTGATGCTGATCAAGAATATATATACTTTATGAGGTCGGAGACGCTTCCTTCTGCCTGTTACATACATTTGCACAAATACAATATACCCTGTTTACCCATTTTGAATGGGTTCAGGGTATAAAAAGAAAGATCTCAATCTCTCGGAACACTCACTCATCTCTTTGCAGACCTTACTGCGCTGCGCAACTATTGTGATCGCTACTGCAACAATCTGAGAGCTTTGGATGGTATTCTGGATCAGGTATTTCTGGGCCTCTTAAAATTGGGCCAGAGCGGCTTTAAGGATGCGGTTACGCCCGTCTGCCAGCGTCTGCAAAGTGTTTTGGCTATATACTTGCCCCAGCTGGCCGAGGAGGAGACCACGAAACTATATGAGGAAGCTCAAGATTTCTATGGACGCATCGGCTATGAGCCACAAACAACACTTCAGCTGGTCGCTCACATTCGCTTTCTGGATAACTGTCACCAAGAGCTTGATGAGCTTTTCCTAGTTATAGATTATATACACGATTTGTTAATGATCATCAAGGACTTTAA